AAAAAGAAAAAAAAAAAAAAAAAACCCAAAACATTTGTAGGTAAAACTGACAGATTTTTTTCCCATCAACAGAGCCTTACTAAAGGAAATCTTAAACGATGTACTTTAAGCAGAAAGAAGGAGAGAATCAGAGATGAAAGAATAAAGATAAGCAAAGAAAATTTTTAAATTTTTGGAAAAGCAGAACGAATACTGACTATATAAAACATAACACCAATTTTTGTGGGGTAAAAAATAAGCATAAGTCAGAACTAAACTATATAACAACCATAGTTTCTAGGTTGTTTTGTCTTATCAAAGTTAAGTGTTCTAAGGTTCTTGTATTATCTTGTGATAAGTTAAGTACACATTAAAAGTTCATTGTAACTGATAAGAAAAGAGAAGTAGAGGGTATAATTTCTAAACTAGTAAAAGGAAAAAATGAGAGAAAATAATCAATGTAAAGAAAGAAAACAAGACAAAATAAGGTAGAATAAACAAAAATAAATCCAATGTACCAAAAACTACAATGAATGTAAATGGACTCAATGCTCAAATTAAAAGGCTAAGGTCGTTAAACTAGAAAAAAAATGCTATTTACAAAAAGACATATCTAGACTGTAACGATATAGAAAAGTTGAAACAAAAGCATGGGCACAGGATTCTGGCAAAGTGGAGTAGGAGCTCAGCAGACAATTTCCCCAACAAAACATCAATTTAACTAATGAAAATTATTTTTAAAAAACTATTATTTAAACTCTCAGAAAATTGTCCTAAGGGCATAAATATATGGTGAAATAGTCACTTGAGAAAAATCTATTAAATCTTGGTTAGAATTGTCTGAGAGTGGAGATTCTGTGCTGAAAGAGGCAACTTGTGAAGACCAGGGGCTGCCATACCCCCAAGTGCTCACTCATAAAGAGCACGGGTGTCACTCTGGGAAGAGCAGGTCTCTGCCTGCAGCCCTGGTGTAGTCACACAGAGGTTCTGCCTAGGCAGAAAGGCAGGACATGAAAATAAAAAGTTCCATACTCTGCAGGGAAAGGACTGACTTTATTCAGAATAATGCCTAAGACCGCTGTTGAAACAACAGACATTTGGAAGGAGAACAAAAAGAGGTTACCAGTTACTAGCCAGAGGGTTAATGGAATAACTAGAGAAAGATAAACAGGAGCACTCCTGGGATAATGGTTAACTCTGGGGATCTGGGAAGCTGTGTACATACATTCGATTGCATCCACTCAAGAGAAATCAGGGCTGAACGTGGAGTAGATTTGAAAGCATTCCCTAATCCATACACAAACCCATCAACACAGGCTGAAAGCCTCCCTGGCATAAATGGCTTAAATACAACCTATGACCAAACTCTTACTGAACAATAAGCTGTGATAAAGGGGAAAATTCCTAGGAATCAGGCGTAAAAAAACCATGTCAGCAAAATGGCAGACTAGGAAGTTCCAAGCCCTTTTTCTCCAAGGAAACAGCAAAAAACCCAGAAACTGGTAGAACTAATTTACCAGGAGTTCTGAGATACAAAGGTCGTCTACAGCAACCAAATGAAGGCCCAATCAAGAAAAAACTACCTTCAAAACAGTAGGAAATTTCGTGGTATTTTTTCATTTGCTTTGCCCTATCCTTTTAACAAAATCTTGGGATCTTAGACATGGGCTGACTTCCAGACACGTTCCTAGTTGTAAATTCTTGAACCTACTCAGTTAACAAATAAAAGGAGAAAATAAGTAAAGAAAGAGAAAGAGATGAGACGTTAAGAAAACAAAAACAGCTCAAGGGGAGGGAAAAGCCAGAGTGGCCCACGAATTAGAAGTGACCTTCCTATCCTGGATAAACTTCCGGAATCAACAGCGGGTCGGCCCAATCAGAACCTTTCTCCGGGAGCCAATGGGAGAGCACATTACAAAGAGCCAATCGCAGCGGCGCTGTCACTGTTATGGTCCTGTCAGGACGCCGGCGTCGTGGTTCTTGGGCGGTCGCCACCGAGAGGACTTTGGTGGGCAGTCTCTGGGGCAACCCTGCGGCCCGCTGTGCTCGTCGCAGGCCTAGCTTCCAGCCCGCACCTCCTGTCTCACGGGCCGCACCGTAGGGCGCGCGTGGGGGTCGGCGCGGTGGCCGCCTTCGGGCCTGGGCCCAGCCGCAGCCTTCTTTACCGCCGCCGGCTCCGACGGGCCGCGAGATGCAGCCGCCGGGCCCGCCCCCGGCGTATTCCCCCACTAACGGGGACTTCACCTTTGTCTCCTCAGCTGACGCGGAAGGTGAGACTGAGCCCCCGACGGGCCTCTCACCTCGGAGGACGCCGGGCGGGATGCGGCGGGGTCTTTCTGGTGCTGAAAGAGGTTGTGGTCAGGGTGGGGACGGGCAGCAAGCTGACTGGTGACTCAAGCCCTCTGCGTCTGCGGGGGCCTTCCAAGAGGGCCCGAGTGGCCGAGGGAGGGGTGTAGGGGAGCTTTCCAAGTGCTTTCGGTCAGCTCTGGCTTACCCCATTCCGTGTGGGGCAGGTTTTTCCAGGTGACCTGCCCGCCTTAAGTGAGCCCACAGAACTCGAAGATTTTAATTCTGGATGACTTGCTATTACTCAGGAAAGCGATCGTTAGATCGGCCAGGATGAGTGTCAAAGAATGAAAACGAGGAAGGAGAGCAGCGTTCTTCTGTTATTTATCAATAGGTAACTTGTGCTGGGATTGGATTCGGCCCTGCAACTACATGGAATTCGATATCTTGCCTACGTCCCAGTTTTCCTCTTGTTTTTTTAGTGTTTGACCTCAATATTCAGAGAAGTAGACCCAGGTATACTTGAAACTTATTTTAATCTGGTTAGGTGTTCCTAATAGCTTCTACAGATTTCCTTGTACTATTTTGATGAAGCACTTGTGCTGGAGAGCTTTTTCTACAGCTTAGGAAAATTTGTTTTCCTCCTCGTCTCTGTTCCTTACCAGACTCAACTTTTTTAGGTTTTGTACACCAGTGATTTTCCAGTGACCAGACTTCCTGCCTCATGTGAAAAAATAAATTATATTTAGCTATAGAAATTTCAGTCTAAAGAAAAACGTAATATTTTCTCAGAAATGCAGTTTCATAGTGCATCAGTTAGTATAGCTTGTTTTCCCTTTTTTCTGTTTTGTTTTCCTTATTTTGTTTTTTCATAGGTTTTTTTTTTTAAATAATACCCTAGTTTTGTTACAATTTAAAATGTAAAATAAAAATTTTATCTGTCATAGAGAACATAGCTGATACGTTTTTTTTTATTACTGATGTTTAAACTTAATACGAGTATTTGGTGAAATAAAGCAACCCTAAATATTTCAGTTTGTTTCATCTGCATTTGATAGCATAGCGCTTAGGGTGAAATGTCAGCTTAATTTTCCAGACTTAAAAAATTATCATTGGGTATCAGAACCTGATGTTTGTTCAAACTCCTCTATCAGTGTGTATATTTTTCATGTCATCCCTTCCCCCGGGAATTACCTTTCTTAAATACACCTAAAAAATTTGACAGAATGATATAGAATGAGCTAACGCATTGACTAAACCAAGAAACGTATATACTAAAGTATATACTAGTATATACTAAAAAGTATATACTAGTATATACTTTAGTATATACTAGTATATACTAAAAAGTATATACTAAACCAAGAAACCTGGAATAAGTAAAATCCATACGGTTTATTCAAACTTGATATAGCCTTCAAGGATATATAGACTCCCTGTATATCTGGGAATATATAGACCAGGGAAGATATATGTATACTAACACCTTGATGTGTATAACTTTGTACAGCTGAAATTTCCATAGTATTTTAGCAGATGTCTTGGTTGATCTTTATAAGAATCCTGCTGAGTTTTATAATTTCTGTATTTTATAATAAAGCAGGCTTAGGGAAATTTAGTAACCTCCACATGAAGGATCCGGAATTGAGATTGGGTGTTCTGTCTCCTCAGATTTCTTTCCACTAAACCGTGATGCCTCTTTCTTATATTTTTTAAATAGAATAGTGTATCTGAAATATAGTGGAAAGAGACTTGGATTTGCATCCTGGTTTTACCAATTACTGTTTATGTAGTATTAGGTGAGTTACTTAGCCTCTCTTAATAATACCCAAGTGCCCAAATATTTAAGTACTATATCTGGCAGAGTTGAGTGCTCAGTACATGTTAGCAGTGGTGCTGCTGTGTCGGTTTCAGCATTAACAGGTCCCACACATTTATTATTCTCCAAAATGAACATCTAACTCTGCAAACTCCAAGTTTTTTCTCTGGTTCCTAAGATGTCTTGTAAATTCTTGCTGCTTCCTTTTTATGCTAACCATGAATGTTTTAGGCTTATAAATATTTTCAATGTATACTTTCCTTCTAGTTTTTTGTCCACATCTCTCTTAATGATACCAGTCCTTATCATTTGATCACATATCCTTTGTCCAAAAATCTGTCTTGATGTTTCATCTCCATACCTATGCATATCCTGAACGTTATGTTTAAAGTACCTTTGTTCTCCTTACTCCAAGTTGAAACTTAAAACTGAAATCAAATGCTCCTTCCATGGTGAAACCTTGCTTAACTCTCCCTCAGAACCAGAAAGTTCTCTAGAAATCTTTTCTATATCCTAACACCTACCACAAAACCCAGAATATAAACATCACAAAATAATTGTTTGTTATAGGGATAAATGATTTCTGCTTTCTTTTACCTCATATGACATTGATACTTGGGACTACAAAACTTAGCACATTTTGGATGGCAAAACTAAATAATTACTTGATTTAGAGCCAAAAGACTTTAAAATCCTGACTCCTATAGTAGCTCTGCGATGTTGGGCAAGTTACATAACTTCTGTGAGCGTCCATTTTGTCACCTGTAAAATGAAAAGCACACCACTTATCAGAATATGGTGAGAATTATTTAAGATAATGTGTATCAAGTCAAGGTCCATAATTATAGTTGAAAGAACATGAGCTATGAGTGACTAAATCAATAAATGAATAGTGAAATCCAGACTAAATACTCGTCTGTGGTGTAAAACTGCATACAAAAGCGGTAATGAAATGCATGTGTATAAATGTAAGAATGTAATGATACTGTTACATATATGTAAAGTGTAGTATAGAATTCTTCAAGGCAATCCTTTGAAATTATTTTATGTCAGACAAATAGTAATTCTTTACCTGGTTTATGTCCACAGACCATCAGCATTGGCTTTACCTTGGTACTTAGTAATGCAGAATCTGCTCTAATTATAATTTGCATTTTTACAAGATCCTTCAGTGATTCATATGCACATTAAAGCTTGAGGAGCACTGATTTAGAATGTTATGAAAGATCAGAAGAGGAGGAAATTTTCTCAGCTGGGAGATCCTGGATAATTTGATGGAGGTTTGCCAAACTTTGAAGGATAGATAACGTATTATATGTGTAGGATGACAGGAGTTACATCCATGTGCAAAAGACTGCATGTGAGGAAGTCTCTGACTCCAAGAAATGGTCTAATAAGAAAGAGATTTAAAATTTTCAATAAATGCTATAAAAAGTTTGGTTCAAAGGAAGAAGTGGTTAATTGTGCAGAAAGGGATCAAGGAAGTCTTCAGGAACAGATGAGGTATATTTTGAAGAATAAGTAGTTCTTCAGATTGAAAAGGTGGAAGAACATTCACTTAAGAACTATGCAAGTAAAATAATTGGTGAAAGCAGTCCCTATAGCTTATACTTCTCAGTCTTCACAGACCTAAAATAATGCTGATGTAGACCATGAGCTCTTTGTGGTTAGAAGCTGTGCTTTACTCCCAGTATCATACCCACTGCCTGGCAGGGAACCTGGCACATAACAGGAACTCAGTAAATGTTTGATGAATGAATGACTACTTGATATTTTTTGCTTAAGATAAAGGTGTTGTGCTACTAGAACTGAAGCCAGCACTAATTTGACAAATTCAGCAACCGGTTGGAAAGGGCATGAACAGAGACAACTAAGCAAGAAGGATGTTCTAAGCCACCCAATAGTCATTTTCCATCCTCATGTTTTTCTACCTCTGAATATCTTTGTATCTGTATTGAAACATTCATCTTTCCTCCAAATCTTGAAACTTTTCTTTCCTAGGATAAGCCTCTACTAGTGCCATTATTTTCATATCTCCCTGCTTCATTTGGAACCTTTCCTTCTCTTCTCTAGTTTTTTTCTCTAGCCGTTGCTATTTCTCCTCTGTTCCTTTCATCTCTATCATCACTCATAGGTCTCTTCTAATTGGCAGAATTTTTAATTAAATCTGCTTCTTCCCTTTTTTCTTATTTTCACAACTAAGCTATCTCTGTCATATCCCATATCCTCAGCACCCAGGAATCTCTACTACTATGCTGGAACTTTGCTTGCATCCTATCTACAAAAGTATCTTCAGTAGTGTTTCTCAAAAGGTCATATGATGACATAATGTCCATGATGACATAAATTTGATAAATAATGTAAGCTAAGTTAAACTAGTTTCCTTAATGCAGAATTCCCAAAGCCTTTGATATGCCAATATTAATTCTGAAACTGTAATTGTAGTTTGGCAGCGTTTTCCAAATTCAGTGAACATCAAAAGTCTTTTGTGAAGGACATCTGGTAGGACCCAGATTCCACAGAACATGTATAGAGAAACATGTGCCTATAAAATAAAGACAACTGGGTTTTGGGGGGCTGATATTTATGCTCTTAACAATTTGTTCCCAACCTATCTTCCACAACTTTAGAGATGAAATCTGTGCCCATCACAAGCCTTGGGCTTCCATGCCTTTGTCCCTGCCATTTCTTTTCTTTGAAATGATTTCTCATTCTCTGCTCAGCCAGCTATCCCTCATAGCCAAATTCAGGTTCCACCTCCATATAACCTTCCTGACCACCTCTCTGAGAGCTTAGGCCTCTTTACTCCTCTTTACAACTTGTGTTCAGTAGGCAATTTGTGTTGTTATTCACCTACAGAAGAGTGTATTTTACAGTGCTAATAGGGTTGTGTATCACATCTTAGATTTTTTAAATTGAGATATAATTCACACATCATAAACTTCACACTTAAAGCATAGAATACAGTGTGTTTTGGTTTATTCACAAAGTTGTACAACCGTCACCACTATCTAATTCTAGAACATTTTCATCAATCTAAAAAGAAACCCTATACCCACGTATCTACCCATTTTCAGTCACTCTCCATTCCTCCACTTGCCCCTTAGCCCCTGGCAACCACTAATCTACTTTCTGTTTATAGGTTTGCATAGATTCTGGACGTTTCATATAAATGGGGTAATACAGCATGTGACCTTTTATGTCTGGCTTCTTTCGCCAAGCAAAATGTTTTCAAGGTTCATCTATGTTGCAGCATGAATCAGGAACTCATTGCTTTCTCTGGCTGAAATTTCATTGTTTAAATATCAATTAGAGTTTAAATTCCTCAAGGTATCTCACTTCTTTATATTACTCTTAGGGCATTATAGAAATAAGTAATCCATTAATATTTATTGATGGATTACTTGATCAGTGTTAAAATGAGGGAGGAAGTGAAAATGATTTAATGTTTGTGATATTGTTCCTCTTGCCAAAGGCTAGAAACTTGTCGCTCACTTTCTCATCTTCAGTTGGTCAATAAAATTATTTCAGAAGAGCTCCAGAATAACTATAATTTTTCTTCCCTTTCTACTGACACTACCTTAGTTCAAGTCCTGACCATTTCTCATCTGTACTCTTTACTGTAAAGCCAGTCCTCTATAGTGCAGCTAACATTGCTTCCAAAATTCAAATCTAATTTTGTATATTTGTTTTATTAAAAGTCTTTAATGTCACTTCTCGATTTAAGCTATATGAAGCTATTTGCCCTTCCGTTAAATTAATTCACTCAACCAGCACACATTTGTTAGTTGCCTATTATGAGTACTTGGGACATATGTTCAAAACAAAACTACAATAAAAACACTTAGTTCTGCCATCATAGAACTTATAGACATTATCCAAATAATCACACAAATATGTTGTTATAAACAGTGGTAAATGCTAAGAAGGAAAAATCCAGGGGAGTATGATAGGAACTTAACCTAGGAGTCAAAGAAAATTTCTTAAGCAGTTATATCTGAGAACTGAAAAATAGGTGGCATTTAATTATTTTAAGTTAGAGGAAATGGCCTGGTACAACGTCCCTGAGGTAAGGGGCATTCTGGTTCATGCAAAGAACTGAGGCTTAGGGTGGGTGGCTAGAGCATAGCGTACAGATGGAAGGGTGGGGGCAAGAAATTGTTCTGGAGAAGGCATGTAGAGATTTTTGGATTTGAGCTAAAGAATCAGTGGGAGTCCGTTGAAGGATTTTAAACAGGAAAATGAAAAATTTGAATTTTAAAGATTCTTCTAACTATAGTTAAGAAAATGGATTGGAACAAGACAAGAATGACTAGGGAGATAGCAGTTAGTAGACCATTATAGTCAAGCAGGAAATGATAGTTTGCACTAACTTGGTGCTGGTGGTAGAAATGGAGAAAAGTGGACAGGTTCAAAAAAATATTTAGAAGTAAAAATGACGAAATTTGGTGGATTGGATGAAGCAAGAAACATGGGAATGAAGGAAACTATCAAAGATAATCAAATTTCTGGTTTGTAATGCTGGATGGATAGTGGAACCATTCACTGAAATAAGAAACTGGAATAAGACCTTAGGTAACAAGAAATCAGTTTTGGACTATTGAGTTTTAGATGCTTTTGACTTAGCTACAAGGAAATGTTAAGCTGACAATTGATTCAGTAGGTCTACAGAAGAGACCTGAGTTCAATATATTGCTTTTTGAGCTCAGCCTTCTTCAATCTTCTTATCCCTTCTTATGGTCTTAATGTTTGTGTCCCCCCAAAATTCATATGTTGAAATCCTAATGCCCAATGTGATCGTTTTAGGAAATGGGGCCCTTCTGAGGTACTTAGGTCATCGGGGTGGAGTCTTCATAAATGGGATTAGTGTTCTTATAAACAAGACCCCACAGAGTAGAGCAGCTCCCTACCCGCTTCTGCCATGTGAGGATGCAAGTAGTCTGTAAGCTGCAAGAGGACCCTAAGCTGACCATGCTGGTACCCTGATCTTGGACTCTCAGCCTCCAGAACTGGGAGAAATAAATTTCTATTTGTTATAAGCTACCCAGTCTATGATATTTTGTTACAGCTGCCCTAAGACACAATTTTATACAGTCTTAAAATTTTTTTTTTATGGATTAACATGATCAAGCAAGCTCCAATATGGGTCTAATAATCATTATGTACTTTCTTTGGTTTTTTGTTATCTGTCATTGGCCTATATATGCATTAAAATGTTTTTATAGCTAAAATGGAACAATGGAATTTATACCTTCAGTATAAAACATGTGTTTCTTTTGCCAAACAAATACTCAATTTTGTTTTTGATTACAGCACATACGGATTTTATTTTCAAATGAAATGAAATGATTTTTGTCTTTGCTCTTACTGAATGTTAAATAAGAAAAAGCTTCACATATTTAAGAAGTCGACAAGTACCAACAAAACATTCACTATTCATTGCAGGATACTCTCCTTTCACAAAAGTCTAGAACTTGTCTAGGGGCAGATTAGTAAATCCTGAGTATATACTATCATACTGCACTGACCAGATTCTTCCTCACCTTTCAAAGTGGAGTTCTCAGTCTGAGTAGAATATTGGGAGAAAAGATCCCTCTCCCAGTAATACACTTGTGTTGAAAAGGAGAGAAAATTACTGTTAAATTTTGTTCTGTAATTTTTGCAGGGGGCTTTCCATAAAACTTGAAACTTACTGATTGATATTCTTCCTTCCACTGAACCCAAACAGCAGTGGAAACGTTTTTAAGATTTTCTTTTGCAATAGATTTTTTCAAAGATTATTTCCTCTTAAATTCATTTCTATTTATTACTATCTATATATTTTTCTTACTTAGAAAATGACAATTATACATAGTGTCGTAAGAAAGAATTAATTTAAAATTAGTGGGGTTTTTAAAATCTGGATACCTATCCTAGAGTTGACAACCAAGCTAGCTGGTTCTTACTCTCGTTTAACTTAAACCAGCTGTACTCCTAGAGTGATTTAGAATCTTTCTCCTTTTTTTTTTTTTTTTTTTGACATTATTCTTAGTAGCTTGCTACCATTTTTTTGGACCTTTCTGTTGTTTTTTTTGTACCCACATCTAGTTGTGTCTTAGGAGGTACTAAGGGATGTGTCAAATTGCTGTTGTAGGCATTCATATATGTTCATAATATTTTTTTCCTACTTTGCATGGAATGGAAAATAGTATGAATTTGTGAGCTAAAGGTGCCTTTTTGAAGTTCTGGCACCCATGTTAGCACAAACTACTAACCATACACAATTCTTTATCACACCATTCCTTAGCACTATAATTTATATATCCTTTTTTGGTTTAGATTAAGAATTTTTAGTATAGTCCTTTCTATGGGCCAGGAAACAGTTGTTAAGGTCCTCTCATGCCTCATATTCTAAAACCTTTAATGCCACTGCTTTACTAATGATTTCCTGATCTAAATCTTCCTCTTGTTAAATCAAGAAAAATACTCTTTGTACCTCCTGTAAATGGAATTTTAGTTAAATTTCAACTCTTTCATTTTCAGCTGAGGTTAAGACAAGCAGAAAGCGATTTTGAGAGACTTTTAATTACAAGAGTCTACAGCATCTACAAAGACTATTTTTAAACTTTTAAGTAAGGAAAGACAGTGAATTCAAAAGTACTTGCATTTTATCTCTAGGTGAGTAAACTCCCTTATAAAAACTTTTAGAATCATGTAATGTTAAACCTAAAAAAGAACTTTGGGAAACTGGGGACCATAAGACATTAATGATTTGCTGTATTAATTAGTAGGTAAGCTAGGATTTAGCTTCAGAATGCACACTTTATTATAATTAATTGCAGGAGTTGTCACAGCCAGACCAAGATGTGACATAATTGATCCACTCATTGATTGAAGTTTAAGCCAAAATTTTAATGACTGTTCTCAAAAACAAACCTAAAATTTAGGTTAAAATTAAGCTCTTTTTTGTACTATATATAATCTCCAGAGAAGGCACATCTGTGTTAAGAATGTTCTGGTTTGCTGTTGCCAAAATTATGTTTTTAAAATACCACTCGTCATGTGGCTTCCAGTTAACAATATTGATGGTTGTTTACTAGTGTGTATTGTCTGATCCTACAATGTGTTTTTTCTTAATTCCTGTATGACCTCAAGCAAGTCCTTTAGTATTCCCAATTTTTTGTGACCAGAAAATGTAGCATTTGTACTATCGTGATTATCTGTAACCTCTAAACTCCTGTGCAGACTGTGAATGGAATTTATTTTGTAATGCGGGTGACTGAATCTCTTCATCATTTTTTAGAGCTGACCTAAAAAAAAAAATCTTTTATTTTTGCTAAATCTGAAGATGAATGATGTAATTATATAAAGAAAAGCATTAGCTGAAATAAAAGGGAACTCTTACTAGTCAGATTTACCCAGAACTAAACATTAATATATGAAGCATTTAGCATAGCTATTTGGTACTTTAAATGAAAGAATGGAAAGGTAGAGAAGAATTATCTATAGTTTTCCTTTAGCAAATAAGTTATATCTAATGGTTTATATATGTACATATGTAATGCTTTTAAGAAGACTGTGTACAATCACTTTGTTTTGAAGCACACAATGTGTATAATAATGAAGGGACTCCAAAATGTTATCATGTAATATATTTTGTATATATCTTCCATTTAAAATTTAAAGTTATTGTTATAAATCTAGATTCTGGTACCAACCCAGCTAATTAGCAATGAAACCTTTCATATGTCTTCACTTCTCTCATCTTTTGTTTTCTTGTAAAATAAAAGATGGTATTTAGATATCTATAACTTTAAAATATGAATATTGTATGTAATAGCAGATCTTCAGATGATAATTATCTTAGCTGAATAGATGCCCATTTGGTTAAGATTCACACATTTTACCTTGGTTTATCATTTTGTCCTCTTTTCTCCTAAGAGCTCAGTGGTTCAATAGCAGCACCAGATGTCAAATTAAACCTTGGTGGAGATTTTATCAAAGAATCTACAGCTACTACATTTCTGAGACAAAGAGGATATGGCTGGCTATTGGAAGTTGAAGATGATGATCCTGAAGATAATAAGCCACTCTTGTATGTAAAAATAGTAATACGTACTTTTTGGTTTTTAGAGCTAGTGTGTGGGGCGATTATATTCTTTCATTGTTATTTAAAGATAAATATGGAAAATCTTAACAGTTTTAGCTGTTTTCAGTTTTACTAGTAATTAGAAAAACTGAAATGAGAGAATATTTTTAACCTATTAAATGGCAAAAATTAAAAGAATCATAATCCTCTGTCCTCTCTCTTTATCTCTCTCTCTCTCTCTCTCTCTCTCTCACACACACACACACAATACTGTTATAAAATAAAGTTTGTTTATTCTCGAAATTTGTCATTTCTCTTTTCATAAAGGTTTAAAAGATAAACTTAAGTGATATTTTCAGTCTGAAGTCATTATTTTGTGGAATGTAGCATCTTTTAAGTCTGTTGTTCAGAGCCTTTATAATTTAATCACTTACTCACTCACTCACTCCAAACTGTTAGGGCTTACCTAGATACATAGCTATCTCAAGTAAACGTGGCGCTTGCTGTGGAAATTCAGTTTAAGATAAATTAAGATTTCCAAGAAGATTACACTCCAAAATCTCTCGTATAGAAATTCTAGAGCTACCACTGAGAAGATTATAAGGAGACTTTCATTTTTTTTTTAAGCAACTGTGTATTACTTGGGAAAAAAGTAAAGAATTTAACAATTTTGGAAAGAAAAACAGCTTTGTAAAATTGAGGCATTACTAACTTATTCTCTGTAGTAATTATTGGTAGATGAAGTGCTAAAACATCCTATTTCTATGTTAATATACCATATTTCATCAGATCTAGGATGCTCATTCTAAGATGCTTATAAGATGCAGTTATTTTACGATTATCAATAAGAATGAAAAAGTGCTTAAAACAATATAAAGCCAGGATATGAAAGGCTTTCTCCTTAGCATAAGGATAAATGAGAAATAACCTACCATAAAAAAAGAGACAACAGAGAAGTTTATTTGTCTCAGTGAGACACTCGGTAGGGTGTTGGAAGAAAAATTTCCCCTGAGAATGTAAACCCTACCCTCATTCTCATATAGGATTGTAGTCTGAATTATCAGTATAATTCAAAAAAGTTTCAAGCAGATAATTTTATTTTAAAGTTGTCCCAAATTGGTAGTGCCTGCAGGGGACTGGCAAAAGGAAAGGCAGATCTTGTAAGCACTTGGCTTCATTCCAGGCTGACAACAGTTGCAAGACACTAACAATTGTGAGATGCATCCAACTTTAGAGATGTTGAAATGTTGAAAATGAATCAGTGAAATATATGGTACTTCAAATGCAAATGTTTTGTTGACTTATGTATGGAAACTGTACCATTATATTTAAATTTAAATTCTACTGCAACTGTCTCAGTTTTCAGAAGTGTTGTGTGCCTTAAAAAAATTTTTATTTTACAATTATAGGGAGGAATTGGATATCGATCTAAAGGATATTTACTACAAAATCCGATGTGTTTTGATGCCAATGCCATCACTTGGTTTTAATAGACAAGTGGTGAGAGACAATCCTGACTTTTGGGGTCCTCTGGCTGTTGTTCTGTTCTTTTCCATGATATCATTATATGGACAATTTAGGGTAAGTATACCTTACTTTATACAAATTCTAAATGTTTTAAGAGTTTTAAAATTGAAGGTAGCCAAATATTAACTGTAATATTATGTTGTATTTGAGAAATGCTTTACCTTTACTCATTATTTTTCACTTGTTATCCCTAGAATTATTCTTAATTAAATATGTGGGGAGTGCCGTAGATTATACTTTCCAAACTCTTCCACATCATCATTCACATAGAAAGTATTAATATTTTTCTAGCAACTGGAGTAAATGGATGCAACTTCTCCCAGCTGACCAGAAGTGACCAATGACCAAAAGTGACCAAAAGGGCTGCCCACACCCTTTCTGATCTCTCCAAAGGATGAAGAATTTGAAACACAAAACTCGTCACCATGTTCTTACCTTTTATTCATTTTTAGTTGTTTTTTAAAATAAACATTCTAATAAGTGATGACAAGGATTCCCTCAGTATTTGTTTTTATATACTTTGTCTTATTCTCAGAGGGCTTATCTTTTATCATCAAGACATAACATACACACATCACTCCCTCATTCCTAGTTTAAGACTTTACCACAAAGTTATTTAGAAATGAATTAGTTTCCTTTTGCTGCCGTAACAAATTTACACAAGTTTAGTGGCTTAAAACAAGACATATTTTTTCTTTTGCTGTTCTGAAAGTCAGAAAACCAAAATAAGTATGAAAGGGCTAAGATCAAAATGTCAGCAGGTCTGATTCCTCTGGAGGCTCTAGGGAAGAATTTGTTACTTGCCTCCTCCCAAGTCTAGAGGTTGCCAGCATTCCTTGGCTTCACATCATTGTAATCTCTGTTTTCATGTTCACATTGTCTTTTTCTCTACTCTAGTCATATCTCCCTCTGCCTCCTATTTTTAAGGACAGTTGTGATTACATGTAGTGCTCACCTAGATACTCCAGAATAATCTCCCCATAGCAAGACCTTTAATGTAATATAACACTAATACTATTAATATTTACTTTAGCTCAGTAGTTTATATCAGGGATTCTGTTGAAAGTGTAAAGGCTGTGGAATAAGTTGAATGGAGACTCTGGTCTCCTACCTATCACCAATCCTTCTTTTAGAACATTTCTAATTTTTTTTTTTTATTTCATTTGAACAGAGGGATCTGAGGCTAAAAACAGAATATTACTACCTCCATAGAATATTGCTCATTTTGGCTTTGCTTGATATTTTTTTATGACTGGATTGGAGCCATGTATTTTTGGCAAGAATACCCCAGAAGTGACATTGTGCCCTTCTCTGTATACTATCAGGGATTACATTATGTTAATATGTCTTATTACTGGTGCCGTTAATGTTGATTATTTGGTTAGGTGATGGGATGGTATCTGCCCGACTGTGAAGTTGCTATTTTTATCTTTTCAAGTAATATATATCTTGTGGAGATACTTTGTGACTATGCAAACATCCTGTTTTTCATCAAACTTTAGCCTACTAATTTTAGCATCTATTGATGGATTTTCCAGGGAAAAATAATTACTATATTGTTTACTGAGTGGTGATTTTCTACTTTCCTCATTTGTTCTACATGTATGAATTGGTATTTATGGCACAGCTATGCCTTCTTTGCCATTACTTAATCATTCATATATTTATGTCAGTGTGGACTCATGGATATTTATATTCTCGATTGTAATCCAATATTACTATCATTTATTTTATTACTCAGATTGTTTCAGCTTTAGCCATTGGGAGCTCCTTCAGGTTAGCTTCTGTGTCCTTTCAACATATTCCCATCCTTTTTTGAACACTTCTTTTCCTTCTGACTCCACAAAGTGTTCTAGTTTTTATTTTACCTTCCTCGGCCCTGGAATCAACCATTTCACTGTGGAATCCTAGTTCCTTTTATTGGGGAATGATATTTAGAAACCAGAATCTGAGCAATAAGTATGCTTACGTAGCTTCTGGGGTATTATTTCTAGACCCTCCAAGTAGACAGAACTTGGAAATATATGCATGTATCATTATTATGCTAAGTCTCAGGAGTTTAAATTATGTGAAATGCCTTCCATATTCTATTATTTAGATAAATATGTAATTAATAAAAATTTTAAAGACCTCCTGAGAAGGTTAGTAACTTGTTTCAGGGATAAATTTTTCTCGTAGGATGCTATAAACCAGGGTGTTGGGAGTAAATACTCTGTTCTCTTTTTATAGTAATCTTTTACTATAAATCTTGAAATACTGAGGTTTCCTTAGGCAGTTGATCATTGCTAAATGTTCATTTTGGATGTAAAATTGTATTACACATTGTGTTCTTATTAAGTTTTGGAAAGATACCTGGGAACCCAAACAAACTCTCTATGACTTGAAATGGGTATACCAAAGTATCTTATGGCAGAGAATTAAGTTCCTGGGAAATGATCAGCTTATTTGGTACAAAGATGTTAATTCCATTAATTTCTTTTCCCTTGAAGGTGGTCTCATGGATTATAACCATTTGGATATTTGGTTCACTAACAATTTTCTTACTGGCCAGAGTTCTTGGTGGAGAAGTAAGTAGTCAATTTTGAAAATAACCTTTGTTTTTGATGGTAAGCATTATTTTTGATACTGCAGATACTATTAGTAGCTATATATATTATAATTGTTTCTTGCCCTAGAATTGCTTTTCAGTTATTCTACTTCTTTAAGATTATCAGCGTACTAGTATTGTACATACTCAATAAATTTTATAAGAAATGAAGCAGAAATAAAAGATTCCATCCCACTTATCAGTAATTTACAGCTTTTTAGGGAAGCATACAATATATTTTTTGTTAGGGCAATTCTTAAACTTTTTGATCTCAGGTCCCCAAAGAAATTTCTTTATGTGGGTTATAGTTATTGATATTTACCACATTAAAATTAAAATTAAAAATTTATATATTCATTTAAAACTAAAAACAAACTAAATACATTTTAACATAAATACTACATTTGAAAGAAAAGTAACTAGGATGAGTTCCATGGTGTAGTAGTTAGCACGTCTGCTTTACATGCAGAAGGTCCTGGGTTTGCGCCCCAGTGGAGCCATGGTCCATAGTCTATGGCCATGCCACCCTGAACAAGCCCGATGTCTGATCTCAGAAGCTAAGCAGGATCAGGCCTGGTTAATACTTGGATGGGAGACCACCTAAGAAGACTAGGTGCTGTAGGCATAAATAATAATAAATAATAAAAAAATTAAAAAAGTAACTATTTTCAAGACAAAAACAGAAGAGTGGCATTGTTCTACATTTTTGCATGTACAGTAGTTCCACCTTATCTGCAGTTTCACTTTCTACTGTTTCAGTTACCTTTGATCAATTGCCATCCAAAAATACTAAGTGAAAAATTCTAGAAGTAAACAATTCTTAAGTTTTAAATTGCATACCATTCTGAGTAGTGTGATGAAATACTGTGCCATCCTGTGCAGGACGTGATTCATCCCTTTGTTTAGTATCCATGGTATATACACCTGCCTTTTAGTCCCTTAGTAGCCCTGTAGGTTATCAGAACAGTTATCAGGGAGAGAGACCACATTTACATAACTTTCATTACAGCATATTGTTATAATTGCTCTATTTTATTATGAGTTACTGTTGTTAATCTCTTTACCTAAAATTTACGAATTAAACTTCGTTATAGTATATATGTATAGGATAAAACAGTAAAGTATATGATACTTTGAAATATGATGGGTATACTACGTCATGTCTTCTTTATTCTCACATTTATGTAACTACAACAAAGAATATATATGATGTTCAGTAGTGATTAAAATGAGTATCATGATTTCTGTGATATTTATTTAAAAATTTGAAAATTCACAGGTTGCATATGGCCAAGTTCTTGGAGTTATAGGATATTCATTACTTCCTCTCATTGTAATAGCCCCTATACTTTTGGTGGTTGGATCATTTGAAGTGGTATCTACACTTATAAAAGTAAGTAGTGTGTATTATAAAAATTAGTTCACTCTTTTCCAATAACAAAAGCAGAATAGTTCTCTAGTTAAGAATATTATAATCTATAACTATTTATCAAACAGTTGGTAGTATTTTGGAACAATGACCTTACTCACTGACTTTATAATTGTATTTCTTTTATTTTCCCCTTTTAATTACCAGAAATTATAATGTATATCAAGGGGAAAGTAAAGAACAAAGAGCAAATCGGGCCTCAGGGATTTTTTAATATTGAATTTTTCTTCTCTATGGTTATAACATCAGTTTATGACTTAGATTTTGTGGGAAATGTTTATTTAAAAGTACCCTGGGCATTTATTTAATAACTCTTATTCTTCCTTGAATAGTAACCTCCTTATAAATATGATAGACATGGTTCTAATAAATTGACTTTTCTGTATGGCAAAGATAAAGACTTCCTTATGCCGTGTTAAATTTACATTAACATTTGTACCCATTTTAAACATTTACTGATAATACTAAGTATTAATCAATAATATAACTTAAATTTTGTCATTTATTAATTTTGAACAACTTTGGGAAATGACTGCTTTAGCACATGCTTATACATTACACAGTGAATGTAATGCTTTTTCTTTATGGAAAATAGAACTTTTAAGACCACCACTTTCAGAACTGCCATTATGTAGCCTCCACACTAAAAATATTTGTTTTTTAAGTAGAGCCACTTGATTTTTATGACATTTGGTTTTATTTAAAGTTCATCACTAATTCCAGTATAAAATAAATGATTCTATTTAGAATTGGGTAACTGCAGGTCAATACTGACATTATATAAGCATTGGCTATTGAGAATAATATGGATTTTGGAACCAGTCAGTTCTGAATTCAAGTCCTGGTTCTGCCACTTGTCTGCCCTGGAGAGATATCTTTTCTTATTCTCCTCTGCAAAATGGGAACCTTAACAACTTTCTTTCCTCTACATTCTAATTCTGAAACTTTTTTAATTGGCATTATTAGCACTTAGTTTAAAAGTCTTGCAGTGCAGAAGCTAGCCCCATGCTGGCATTTAATTATGTAGCCTTAGTGAACATACCACTTTACTGAATCATTCAGGATCACTTCCTGCTTGTGAGTTATTTTTTCACTTGGGTAAAAGCCTGTTTGGATACTGCTAAGACTACACCCAAAATTGCTAAAACTGTGTCCTCTGGTTATTTTTAGTCATCGAATTCAACTGAAAATTGGTCCTTAATATTTTTTATGTACCATATAAATATTTTATAAAGTGGAAAAATCTTATTTGTGTCATTAAAAACTTAGGATAAAATTGTTTTTAAACTTGAGATTTTTCTTTGCCAATTTTTTTTCCTCATTGCTTAATCTTCTGTGTGTAGTGAGCTACTGTACGTGTTTCTTGTTTCACTCCAAGGTTTGTTGAGAAATATGATGCAAAACTCATTTAACTCCAGCGTTAGAATACAGTTTAATCTACAACAGCTAATTTTTTTAGTATTAAATCTCTGTAACTCTTACTAATCTTTAACCATTTATTTAGAACAAAAAAATTGCATCATGATGTAAAAATGCAATTTGATCATAATTTTATTTCATATTTTCCGATACTTTTCTGTAGGCTTAAAATATTTTATAGTTTTTTTGTTTGTTTGTTTGTTTGTTTTTAAGTTTAAAAAGCGTTATAGAAGGTTGGACCATCTCAAATACATTTTCGATCAGTCTGCCAGTATTTATTTCTTACCTCTGTACTGGTGGTTCTTAACTGCGGGCAGTTTTGCTCCCCAGGGACATTTGGCAATATCAGAGACATTTTTGGGTGTCACAAATTGGGTGTAGGGGTAGAATGTTACTAGATTATAGTGGATAGAGACCAGGGATACTACTAAACATCCTACAATATATAGGACAGTTTCCCACAACAATTATCCAGCCCCAAAATGTCAGTGTGTCTGTTTCTATTATTGTTTCCCTGATTTCTCCCCTTGAAGTTCTTCATTTTATTCTGTAAAATAGCTTCAGTGATTGTATCAATAATTACTACATAAATTTCCAGTGGAAGTAATTTAAAATTAGATATGGATATGATCAGAGGACCACAGTATATTTTATTTAATTAAACTCGACCAAAATATTATGTTTTTTTTCTCCTCTTTATTTAACTCGATCTTTCTATCCCTGGGAAGAAGCTGTGATACTTAATAAACATTGTATAAACTTTTAACTTAATCTGTTTTCTTACTAGGATATAAAGGAAAAAATTTCTAGTCTGTAAAAATCAATTTTTTTTCGGCAGTCAAATTTCTGTCAGTAATTTGGCCCAATAATAGTTTTTCCAAAAGTTGCCTTATCTTACATCATCAGGGACACTTGTTAAAAAAGTTAATTACTAGACCCTTTTCTTAGAAATTCTGATTCATCAAGAGTAGAGTGAATCTCAGGATTCTTTTTAATAGGCACCCCAAGTGATTCTTCTGATTAGACATATTTGATAACAAAACACTTTATTTGCAGAAGTCAAGGAGCAAAGCAAGGACTAACATTCTTAATAAGTTTTAAACATTCTCAGTAAGTTTTACTGTTTACCACAGTTGGTTGTCAGGGTAGTTTTAAACAATATTGTAAATATTATTTTTATTCTTTGATACCCAGAATGTTAATTGACTTGCTAATATGCTGCCCTTTGTCTTTTTGTTTGTTTTTTTTTAAAGCTCTTTGGTGTGTTTTGGGCTGCCTACAGTGCTGCTTCATTGTTAGTGGGTGAAGAATTCAAGACCAAAAAGCCTCTCCTGATTTATCCAATCTTTTTATTATACATTTATTTTTTGTCCTTATATACTGGGGTGTGATCTATATCATATATGAGTAGAAAAAGACAATTACATTTTTGTGAAAGCTGGGAATTCTTGCTGAAGGGATTGAAGAAAAGCTGTTGCTGGTAAAATTTTACATGTTCCAGATGTAAAGACAGGTTTGAGGGGTTTTTTTAAATAATTTTTTTTTTTTTTTTTTTTTGTATTTAAGCAGTTGTAGTTATCTGGATTGGTCAGAATTCTAAATTCTGTTTGATTCCTCATATTCTAGTAAATAAAATATAAAAGCATTATGTTTTTAAGATTGTGTCAATATTCACCTAAAAACTTGTGCCAAAAGCACTTGGAATGGTAATTATACTTCACTTAAAGGGTAAAAATTACAACATCCTGATAATCTTAAAAGTGCAATTTTTTTCTTTTAAAGGGTTTTCTCCTACATTGCAGCTCCTGTAGATATATATTTATATTTATACATATATATTTATGAAATAATTCTTATTATTCACAAAATATATTTCTGAATAGCCGCAAAATTAAGATATTTTAAATCTGATGCTTAAACTTTCTTTAATTTGGCCATTAATCTTTTTATTTATAAATTTAAATTTGTTTTTTAAATTATAATTAAAAAAATCTCATACATACTTCAGTATGTTCTTGCTAAGAATTCTTAATTACAACTAAAACTAATATTAACAATTGCTGATGTAGATTTGATTTGTTTGGGTGTGCTTGTAACCCATTTTCCGTTTTAAGAAAAAAAGTGAAGCTCGCTGCCAGCGTTAATTTCAAATCACGCGTGGGAATGCTACTTTTTCTAGGATTTGACATTTTCAGTGATTGAGAATTATATTTTGTAAATGGAAATATCACTACTATAAAATAGAATGCTACAAATAGAATGATGTCATTTGTTTCCAAAGACTATCGATATACTAGAGAGATGCGAAAATAATAAAAGCGAGATATTTCGTGGCAAACTTTGGGGGTAAGATTAGGACTGTAATCGGCAAGTTATCTCAAGTTCAACGCTGCAGCCATAAGTGCCACCGGCAAATATTCTCAGCAGACGGGAAATGGGTTAAAAACTATTTTTGAATATTTGAACTTCTGATTTAAAGTTTCTGTTTATCTTTCCAACCAAAGGACCAAAAGGTATAATAGATATGGCATTCATTAAAATTGTCAATATGTTGAAAAGCACTAATATTTATAGCATCAGTAAATATTTTTAAGTGGTACTCCTAAGTCATAAAAGTTACTGGAAAGAGACCTTTAAAATCTTGTCCTAAACAATGTCATATGAAATAGAAAAAAAAATAAAATGCTTCCCAGCTGTGTGCTCTATTTTATAACACCTTGTCCTGTATTACTTGATATTTTAACAAGTATCAGGTACTCTAACAAATGTACAATACTTGCTAATGGAAATAGTAAGAAGTTTTAGTTGGTGAAATTTTTTTTGCAAATAATTTCATAAACTATATGTACCTTTAATATTACTTTGTAAAGTAGATAAAATATGTTTATAAAATAATAAATGCCTATAATAACCAATAGCAAGTTATCGTATTCTGGTCTCAGCTGGAAGAGTTAACTGCTATCAATATGATAACATGGCCAGCTCTTGGTATGTATTCCTTTATAAACCTTATCTGTCAGGAAATATCCAGCAACTCAGAAGCAAACCTACAAATCAGCAAGGTTTCAAGCTCATCTCTCTTCCTTTTACCCTCCCCACTGCCAAAAAAGAAAAGAAACCCTTATTTTAAGCTGCAGGAAAAGTGTGGAGCTATCTTTGAGCCAGAATAATGTGGAAAGTTACATATGCTGATTTTTAAAACAAGTTTAAGAAAATAGATTTGAAGCACCAGGGGGATAGAACCTGTAGAACCTAAAATAATATAAAGTAGTGAGGAAGATCTATATAGCTACAGAAGTAGCAACTGTAAAATAAACATTTGTCATACTTAAGGAGTTCCTGAGTTCGTACTTTGTTAACAGTGGATAATTATATTTGATATTTGTTGTGTTGACTCTGGAATCTTATTCCAGGAAGGTTGAGAGTCCATGCTAAGGAGTAGAATTTTACTAAGCAATAAGGCAAGGCACTTTAAGACCAACTATATCAAAAATTGGTTAAATTTTTTTAAGCACCATGTTTATTCATAATGGTATAAGATAAAATGAGATATTTATGTTCTAAAAAGGTATTTAAAAATAACAGCATTTAATCTTGGGATCTGCCCTGTTAAGGGTTTATATAAATGCAGTTTATAATGTTTCAAGTTCAACCAACATCTTCATGTGCTAATGAGCAAAGCAGTTAAAACAGATTGTCAGTTTGAAAGCATGATGTGTAATTGTGTACAAGATACAGTACTGCTACAGCTAATAATGGTAAGCTGATCACAACAATGTCCTTTCGAATTTTTATATAATATTTTCTAAATCATATTGATTTTAAATCATGATTTCCAACCTAATTATTAGTTCATTAGTGTTTTTAAAATAGAACTAGCTAGTCTCTTTTAGTTGTATGTGTGTGTGTCTTGCTATTAGTTATAGTAATCCTGATGAATGTTAATCCTCAAAAAAAGAATTGAGACATTTAATTATGTTTTAAATTGATTGTAAAATAATTGAAATTTTCATTAAAAATCAAATTCTCCATATAATTTTCATTGTATTAAAGAACGGTTTAGGAAGATTTGTAAAGTTTTATGAACTATTATAGAACTTGCTTATTTCTAAGGTCTATAAAACAGTTTTATATATAATGTATCTGTTTCCAAAAATCCCCCAAATGTTAATATACTAATATAGAGTCCTAAATTAGCGAAAATTTGCATTGACTTAAAATGAAGTAGATATTTTTGTTTGTTTAAAATTTAGTCAGTTTCTTTTTAAAAATTTTGATGTAATAAAACATTGAATAAAATAATCTTTCTACAAACTTAATAAAAACAGAATACTTTTCATATTCAACAAAACTAATTGGATATTTTTAGATGATTGTTATTTACCTCTTACATTTTTGTTAAGGCATATTTTAACCAGTTTTAGAATTTAGGGAATTGTGACACATTAAATTTTGTTAAAATATCTTACTTCCGTTCCTTCCTTTTTTCTTTTCTTTTTTCTTTTCTTTTCTTTTCTTTGTTCTTTTCTTTTCTTTTTTCTTCTCCCCTCCCTTCCTTCCTTCCTTCCTTCCTTCCTTCCTTCCTTCCTTCCTTCCTTCCTTCCTTCTTTCCTTCTTTCCTTCCTTTCATAGTTGAACAAGTTTTGTTTATTGTTTTGTTCTTTGCAACAGAGAACAAACACATACCATGTGGAGCCATAGGGTGTCTCAGTGTTAAAGAGGACCTATTACAGGATTTAGGCTTGTGTTAATACAGTTCTTTTCGATTGCATGGCGTGGCAGTCTGAAGAAAGTCTTAACAGAGCTTAAAATCACCCTCTCACCCTTAGCAATTTTCTGCTCTGATATTTTAGTCACATAAACAATATAATAGTGTTTTATCATCTTCTTTCATAGATGGTTTCCTTAATTGAACGCTGTATTACATCTTACCTTGTGTTGCATTTTAATTTTCCTTTAGAAACTGAATTATGCGTGTGCTATTCCTCATTTGTATAATTTCTTGTCAGTAGTTTGTGTATTTGAGAATCTGTTGCCACCTTTTAAATAAATCCCAAAATATGATTTTGACCTCATTAAGACTAGACATTCTTATATTTCTGCACTTGAAATCATGATATTTTCTAAAGAAAGGTCCACTCGTGAATATATTCTCTTTATAACAAACTGGTATAAATTTTTGACCCTATCGTGTATCTTTATAAAGTATAGCTGTCTGAAAAGAAATGGTTAAGAAAATATTCCCTGTACAAGGCATATAGTATTAAACATAAAGCTTAGGGTTAGGTTTCTCATTTGAAATCTTTTGATATGCTGAGGTTGCAGTTTGGAGGTTAATTTAGGGAATGTCAAGATGGTTAAGATGGCATTAGTAAAATAATTCCCTAATATATTCTGTATTGATAGTGACCCTGGTTTCAGCTTTTCTGATTTTCACCAAAATATCCACAAGTTTTTACTTTAGAGATACTTAGTTTATAGTTTGCAAGAGCTTGAGAGAAATTCCTTAAACATCCCTTCTGAATAGTTCAGTGCGATACTGATGCTATCATTGAGGTTCTTTAAAGTTAGATATTAATATGAAAATATTTATGAAATATTTTTAATTTAACATATTGGAGCATATTACAGGTTAGTAACACTTGAGGGTGGTGGTGAGTAAGCTTTCTTACCTGTAATAATTTCATTAAATTAACACTTAGAATATAAGTAAATTCAGTTTATCGAGAAGAAACCTTAGTAGTTTTTTAAAAAATAATAGTTGCCACTGAGCAATTTTTATTAAATAACAAGCAAAAAAAGCTAACCAAAGTATTTACACAGGATCAAGTGAAATTATACAGAATGACTGGTTATGGGAGAAATTTGTCATCTGATGATAAAGAGAAAATAATATAAAAGTAGATGGCTGCTATTCACATAACCACTTATTGAAGATAATTGAAATTTTACATTTTTGCTTAATTTTATGATCCTACCTGCTTTTGTGGAATGAATGAATTTTGTGGAATTCTGCTATGTAAACTGTCATTGAAATAGTGCTCACTATTTGATAATGAAACAACCCATATGTTTTGTAATTCTCATGCAGAATTTTGCTCTGTGATAATTATAGTCTCTCCACAGAAAACAGTAAAAATATTCTTGTTGATGACAACGGGCTTAGGTTCCAAGTCCCTCGTATTTATTAACCTTCTTTGCCAAATGGGACTTAAGAAAATCTCTTGTCTAATACACATTTATTTTCAAAGGATAGTACTGGTGGTGGCCCTAAGAATGAAACATTCAGAAGAAATAGCATTTGAATTGGGTACCCTGAATGTGAAAAGGTAATAGATATTCATCAAGTATTTATTGATCCCTTTCTCTGTGCCAGGTGCTGTGCTAGGTGTATTGATATGCAAAAAAGATCACACATGCATGCCCTAACCTTAATGATCCAGAATTGTTGGAGAGAGAGCCTATTCTTTTCACAAATTGTGAAACAAGTGCAACAAATAGAGAAAGGTCTGGTGGCAAAAGAGTGTATAATGGAGGAAGAAGATGAGAAAAACGTTCCCTGAGGCAATGATGCTTAAACTGAAATCTTAAGGATAACTCAAAGTTAACTAGCTAGGCAAAGATGGCAGGGAAAACTATTCCAGACAGACAGAATAG